CTCTTATTCCATCTACAATCCCACTTTCAAGTGAACATGTGAGTGATGAGGGAATATATCTTCTTGAGAACGGTGAAGATGCTCTAATATATATTGGGGGCTTAGCAAATCCAAGTACCTTGCAGCAACTTTTTGGGTTTTCCTCAGTCGATGAAGTTCCTACTCAGGTATTATCTAAATGCCACTTTGAGCTGCTTGGTGTCATTTAAAATCACCATTTAACCCTCAAATATTTAGTGAAAACTTGTATAAACTATGAAATCATGATTGTTGAGCACCTGACCTAGTATTCTTGGAAAGTATTAGGTTCTCTCTGCTCTTAAAAGATGAACTCTATGGTTTGATTTTTTGACTGCTGATGTATGGGGTTGAGGTTATCTGAATAGTTTGTACTCTTTTGGCCCAATCCTGTTTAAGACACTGATATTCTAAATGTTTCATCATGCTCAGTTGGTGCTGCAGCAGTTTGACAACCCATTGTCAAAGAAGTTGAATGATGTAGTAAATGAGATTCGGCGTCAAAGATGTTCTTACCTCCAGTATGACCAATTGTTGTTTTCTTGCCTTGGATTATTAAATTTTAAAAAATAAAGGTTTAAGCTTCTTTCTGAGTGAGAATCATAATGCATTTCCAATATTTGCTATTTTATGCAGCTTGAAGTTATGCAAGAAGGGGGATCCATCAGGTCGGTAGTCATTAGAAGAACCGTTTCTTATTCAAACTGTGAATACTATAGCTTTTAATATATTTTAATTAACATTTCTTGATCCATCCCTCACAATTGTTTCCTTTTTCAGGAATGCTATTCTTCTCATACATGGTTGAAGACAAGACTTCAACTGGTCCTTCCTATGTCGAGTTTCTTGTACATATTCATCGTCAAATCCAGATGAAAATGTCATGATAATTTCAGTTTTCTCCAGTCCAGCACACACAGTATTCCCTCTGAGTTCAGTCATATGCCATGAACAAACGAGAAATTACAAGGCAGAAGAAAGACAAAAATCTGAGTAGCCTCTCCTACTCTGAGTTTCTTGTACATATTCAGTGGCAAATCTGAATGGAAAAATATATATGATTGTTTCATGCTTCCTGGGTTTGTTTCAGATTGTGGTCGTCAAACTCTGATGGCAAACTTGGAGATTAGAACCGGAGAAACATCATATTTGGTATGCATGAATTAGGAGGCTCATCGATTGTTTAATTTTGGACAACGATCTGAGATAAGTTTTGCTGCCACAGGTTCCTAGACAGAAACATGGATGCTTGATATTAGTGAGGATCGGTTGAAACTAATAAAATACTGTAACTTTGATTTTGACATCTTTGGTGCATTTTTGCTCCCTGGTTTCCATACCATTTGCTCCATTCTTCCCAGTTTTAACATTCGAATCTCAAGTTCATAACAGACTAACAGGGGAGATAATCTTGGGATGAACTTAATTCCACGCAAGTGACTCTTAGAGCCAGCAATCTTGAGATTGCAGACTAGTTTGTAGCAATATAATTTTAAAATTATGTTTACCAATGTGGATTGATAATTGCCAATATGTAAAAATGGACTGGCTGAAAAATAAAATAAAAAACTAGAATTCTGGGTGTGAAAACTTAGGAGGAAACAGTTTTTCAGTCTGAATTGCTTAAAATATCTTAACAAATTTTTTTTATATTTAAATTTACGATTACAATAATTTTTTTAAAAAAGTTCTCAAATAAATATATGTTGGGCTTAAAAAAATCACAAATAAATATTCAATAGATTTTAAAATATTCCTCAATAAATACCCTGTAGGCTTTAAAAAATTTCTCAATAAATATCCAGTTAGTATTTTAAAAAAGAGCTTTTCTAATCGGACCTATGTTAAAAGGCATCTTTTTATTATAAATGTATAAAAAATTTAAAAGTTACTCTATATTTTAGTTTTACATTTTGGCATCATTTATCATTATTCATATATATAAAGAAAAAGTATATATCAGTTCTAATTCTTAAAATGAATTAAAATTTTAATTTTAAATTAAGTTGTTTTATTTA